CAATCCCAGGGGCCTTGGCCGCAGACATATTATTTACAATCATTCTTAGATCCCCTTCCGTCATCTGCTCCGAATAGGCTGATTTGACGCAAACCCCCCCAGGACCGGTGGAAATATTGATGGAACTAAACGCCGTCCACGAAGATCCGCAACACTTCGAACTAATATTTCACTTAACTTCGCGCATAAATACCGTATATCCCGGTCTCCGAAAAGCTTCTTGATTGATTGTTCAATATTTTTTCACTATCTTACCACCTAGTTCACGCATAATATCCATGTTTTCCAGGGGTTTCTACTGTGACGCTCCAAACGTTTTTTTTTTTTTTTTTTCTTCACAAGTTTTAGCTTGGCGGTAACCTTGTTCCGTAGGCTTCTGGACACCTCTTTTTTAAGTGCACTATCCTCAACATTGCTTGCATCTATTACAAAGTGCACCTTTTTCATGACGCAACTTCATTATTTTAGTCAAAGAACACTTGAAAAATAGCGCATACATGTTTTAAGCGTGTAGCTCCACATAATATCACGCCCACGGTTTTGCCGGCGTAACACCCATTTAGCTTTATTGCCTTTACCACCCAAACTCCTTTCCGACATAAATAGCGAAAACTTATTTGTAGTTTCCATTATCGTCACGTGACGTCTGCATTTCACCATAACGTCACGTGCTCACATTACGTGACTCACGGCGTCACTTGACGTCATTAAGATGAACGGAGTATAGAACCCGTGTATCAGTCTGTCCTATACTCCGTTTCTTTGGTCTTGCCTAGGGTGACCACCCGTCCCGCGACTCACGGGACTCTTCCGCATTGAGGACTCGTGTCCCGCGTCCCGCAAGAAATTCCCAAATCTTCAAAATGTCCCGCATTTCACATTGTCATAGCATTCACTACGCAAATTATGGCGCTTCCAAAGAACAGGCCACGGGGTAGCGCGAAGGTCACTGATAAACGTGTAACTCTCGATGGTATGCCATTTTCTATACAAGCACTGCGGGAAGCGACCGTCGTTCTTGCAGGAAACACGACGCGCATGCGCCGTTGTGCCTCTCCCCTTGGGGGCAAAATATTGTAAGAGAAAATCGCTCGCCAGAAGTTTAAACATAAATTAATGTAATTATTTCCTATGGCTGTGTCAATGCGAAAAGGTTGCTGTGGATTTTGTTTTAATTTTTTTTAGCGAAGTCCAGCCACACAAGGCAAAAAGACTGCAACTCACAATGTTCACGAAAGAGCATAATGTTAAAAAGGTGTGTAGGACTATGTTGATAAAAGTAATCGTTGACAGGAAACCATAACCCGTAAAAGATTTACTGTTTCTTAATTTCATTTGATGCATAGTCGTCTGCTTCAGTTGATTTTTATGCTTTCAACTTCGACAGGTTAACGTATTTGGCATAAAAATATATCAGTGGGAGTGAAAATCATTCGAGCTTAATTGCTGCAATACAATTGGCAGGGGTATAAAGAGCACAGGATAAAATGTGTTAAGAGAGGCTGGGTTCGTGCTGTGCGTGTTCATAAATTTACCCCCCCCCCCCCCCCCTTGCCCCGCGTGTCCCGCATTTCGCTAGTTGGTAGGTGGTCACCCTATTCTTGCCCCACCTCTACCATCCACGCAACCGTATCACGGGGCAATTGTTTGAGCAATACACACAAAACGGAAGTTGGCCGCGTACCCGACTGAGCCGTTTAATGGCAACGCCAAGCGCAGCCGCATGTGTTCAGCGGACTATTTTGGTAACTTCCGGATCCAGTGAAATGCGCACGAAGCAGGTGTGCTGTTTTCCAGTTGCATGCTCGTGAATTGAATATCAGGTGCTTCGCTGGTAGAGTGCTGTACTTGCGCGTAGTCCCTGACGCTCGGAGTGTTTTCAGGTCTGCGTCGGTTTTGTGAAGCCAAATATCTCACTGAAATCAGTGCGGTGTTCATGCCACTGGTTCACTTGGTGAGTGTGAGTTCCACGTACTCTCCGATTATCGCGGATACCTAAAAGGAACCGAGCAGCTTCAAGCGTCGCGCTACGTTTTCGCACAACTTATGCGCATGTGCAGTAAGATGTCCCAAGCTGCCCGGGGAGCCCAAAGCTTTGGGGCCCTTATTCCGAAACTTTATATCGAGTTAGAATGTTTCTCACTTTGCAGAAGCTTACTGGCATTTCGAGTTACTTTATTTTACGCCAAAATAATGTCTTTTCTTTTTACTTGCCCTACACGTGCCCAAGTATACGGCGAGCAAGTGTTTTCTAAAATGCGTCTTTGGCGGATTGGAAGGCCAAGAGGGACCCGTTCATCAAAAGGCAACGCAGAAAACGCGTAGAGAACGCGCCATGACGAAGCAGCCGAGCTTACGCCGTCGGTGATCGAGGTCGGGGGTAAACAAACGCACGAGGCACGCGAAAAACAGACAAACTTGCACGCCGGTATACACCACCTCCCTTCTCTGACATCAAGCTACTGCCGTGCCGCTGCTATCGGCACTGAGCATGTGCAGACGCTTTACCTCGTGTGAATCTCGTTTGTGCGCTTCGCGGTGCCCACACTTTCCGTGGGAAAACGCTGGCTTGTCTGTGAACAGCGGGTTGGCGCATATTTTCACGAAACGCCAATGACCAAAACACGATTGTGTCGCGGAGTAATTTTATGATGAAATCTGTCCTTTTCTTTCAGTTTCAATCGCGAAACCTGACGGCGTATCATAGTGGTCGCAGTGATCACGCGTAGTGATCGAGGGGATTAACTGGATTCACGCAGAGCGACGCTATTTGAATAGAGCTCATAGATTGAAGACGGGAGCTCCGTGAGCTGTTCATTTGTGCATGACATAATCAATGCCACAACGAGCCTTCGCGTAGTGGCTAGTGTCCAATCTGTGCAATTACCGAAATCGACCCTTATGCATATGTACTTCAGCACGTGCTCTGCTCTTTGGCAGCTCTGCAGCACCAGCGCGTGGCTACAATATACATTGCCGGCGCCAACTCATGTGGCCGCTTGTTCTGGCTGTGGCTTGAGGGAGTGGATTCTGCTCGTTTGTGGCAAATTTTTTTTGCAGCTATACTCTGTTTCATACTTAGCGTACAACGCTGTCAAAGCTACTGGCGCTAGCGCGTGGCTTCATCTGTGGTTTTGTTTGTGCGAGAACGCGTGCAAATGAGCAACGACATAAAGCCCCACGCTCACGCCAGTAGCTTTGACAGCGTTGCACGCTAAATATGAAACAGAGTAATTGTCCTAGATATAAAAAAAAAAACTTATAATGCAGCAGATGACGCGCACTTGCGCCATCTTTTGAAAAGTGATTGAAATTCGAGGTTGAGATGTTCAGGAAAAGTGGCGCTTATTCTGTCGCTGACGCAGTGGATTCTTCTCTCAAATATTTGCTCGCGCTTCTTCTTTGTTTCTTCAATGAGTCAGAGTGAGTCTTGCAATAAATAACCAGCCAAAGGCGCGTCACACGGGCCACGAGCAAGTTCTCGAAAACACCTTGTGCCTATAAATAAGCTACTGAATTCTGCCCGCCATGTTCCGACACCACGTAAAGAGAAAAAACTGAACTGTATCTGATAGCGACAACGCAGCAGAATTCATTCTTCTTTACTCTAAGATAAACAAACATAAGTTTTCTTTAAGGTTCCAGCTTTCCAACCTTGCCGATTCTGTTTTTTTTTTTTTTTTTTTTTTTTCACCATCGTGTAGAGATCTGGGATTTTTACTTTTAACTTTACACGTAGACAACTTACGGAGAGTGTTATGTCCAAAGCGCACTGACTGGGCCTCATGGTAAAGAAGAGCAACATATTTGTAAGAGATCTGGGGAAATAAGCATGAGTGGTAAGCTTATTCCATTTACACTGCCAAATATGTTCATATCGGACGAAGAACGCTTTCAGTACGATGATGTTTCATAGCGATGCTTGGTGCCACTGCTTTAAATGACCCTTTCAGAGCTTCGAACCTTTCAAAGGGTTCAGAATGGCGATCACCATGGGAACCGACAGCTATGAGCATCACCTTGAGAGATTTCGCCGTTTGTGTGTTGGTGTTTGTTTGCGTCCGGCTAGCAGGCGGAAAGGCATAAGGAAGGCAATCTCCCCACTTGCCCAAATCCATTGACTTTAGTTCACACACTTGCGACCCCTTAAGGCCCGTTCACATTCTTGCGACCTCTTAGAACTGAGTGCCGTGAAACCTCTCACAACGAGAAAACCCACTGGCGTCAGCTATTGGGTTGCAGTGTAAACTTGGCGGTCCGGCATATTTTTTATTTCTCTCAAACATTATCATTTTTTTCCTCGCTCGAAAACTTTTGTCAACGTTATAAACGAGCCTTTCCTACAGGTATTACCCACAATTGACCTCGCAAATCCCGTAAACCTTTTTGCTTTTTTGAAATGGAGTTCCAGGGTCACCGCATAGGTGGCGCCAGAGTGACAGTGTATTCCCTCGTCCTAAGAAATTGTAAGAGGTCTCAATAGGTATCGTCTCCCTCGGTCGTACTTGGCTGCAAGAGTGTGAACGGGCCTTTAGAACAGAGTGCCTTAAAAACTCTTCAAATCTCTTACTACCAGAGAACACTTCACATGCTGGCGCTATATCTGTGGTGAGTCTGGATTTTCATTTCACTAGAGTGAAGTTTCGGTGGAATTTTGGAGGTAAGATGGGCGTACAACTTTATGAGAAATGGTCGTTCATACTATTGACAAAAGTTTGTTTGAGCCAAGAAAGAAGAGATGATAATCGAACGAGCTAGGAAATGTACGGCACTTCCAAGTGTTCCACTTCTTCTTGATAGGTGGCGCCTTCTCTCGTCGTAAGGAGTTTAAGAAGTTTCAAGGCACTCGGTCCGAAAAACGTTGCAAGTGTGTGAACAGGCCTTTACGTGTCATCAGAAACAAGAATGTAATGATTCGAAATCGTTGGACATGTTTCTTCTCATTTCTGCAGCTTCTTCACAAGACAAGAGTTGGATGCTGGTGTCTCGATGACGCACGATGCAATGAGCTTAGACAGCAAGTGAGGTACGAGTTCCCCTGCGTAACTTAAGGAGACATGCGTGCTGCACGATTCTGGCTTCGACGCTCCTTGGCCGCACTCCTCTTCTTCTGGAGTCTGGTTCTACTCGCAAGTCTGTGGTACAACGAGGTGCCTGGTACCGGATGCAGGTGCTCTCACGACAAGAGTCCAACCGCTCTACCTCAGGGTGATGGCTCAACAGACAAAAGGTAGGAGCAACCGTTAGAAATTAAAACCCGTAAATGAGCGTGTACAGAAAATGTGTATGCCGCATCAGTTTGGTGGATCCACACTGTTAAACACACGCACGTACCCACTTCGACATCGACGCAGGGTATCCCCGACGATAGTGGCGGTGACCTGTGCGAGCGGCTTGGAACTCACCATGGCCAGTCTCAAGTCAGCCGTAGCATTTTCAAGGGTTCCACTGAGGCTGATTCTGTACGCCGATGTTGAAAACATCAAGCGTCTTCAAGACAGGGTAACTACGGCGTCGCACAGTGTGGTTTTCTGCATCATAAATCCGCAATTCACTGCTAATTCAACTCAGGGAAGACACTAAAGAATTTTAGGAAACTGTTTCTGCACATCCGATAGGGTACGATGGGTCCTTTGGTACGCACTGCGCATGTGCGAGTCTCCTGCGGCAGCACATGCGCAGTTTGTACCGGAGGGTCCATTGTACCGTATTGGATGCGCAAACACGGTTCCCTTAAACTCTCTACTGTCACGGTATTTGTGGAGAATAACATAGAGGACGAAAACCGGACGACCCGTTTCTCCAACTGACAGCATACATTCATTTTGACACCCGTCACCAAACACGACAGTCACCGCGCAGAGTTGGAAGGTTAGGAGGACAGGGAAGGAAGGGAGGGTGGGGGTGGAGAGAAAGTGGAGATGGAGGGAAAGAGAAACGTGTTTTTTAGCCGGCTACGCGCGCCGAAGTCAAAGAGGGGGAGATAATAAGGGGAGTGACCTTGAGGAGGGAAGGGCGAGCCTACTTCAAAGGCGCCTACGTTGGTCGCATTTTCGGACGCAGAAAGGAAACGTCGGCGTCGGAGAGACAAAGCAATGGGGACCCGATGTTTCGCGGTGAATGGCCCATAGCGAAGGCTTCGATTATCTGGCGGCCGTATCTTGACCTATGTGTTCCCACAGTCGTGGTGGCCGAGAACTCTGGTTCGCAGGAGGGGCAGGAGCCGACGTGCTGGGCAATTGGATGAAGGGAGTGGAGGGATGGGTTGGAAGCCGCCTGTTTTACCTCGTTGGCGTGCTCCCTCAGGCGGTCGTTTAGACATCGGCCTGTCTGGCCGATGTATTGCGAGCCGCACTTGAGCGGGATCGAGTAGACGCTGGCCTGTCTACAAGGAACGAACTTGGTAGCGTGTTTTTTGGGGCACGGCTTTGGGGCACTTGGTTTGTTAACTTTCCTGCAGAGCGAGGAGAGCCGGAGGCGACAAGGAAAGAACACCTGCGTGTCATGTCGGAGTGCTAACGATTTGATTCTGTGGCAGACGTTGTGCACGTATGGAATGCACGCGAAGCGGGAATGCACGCGAAGCGGGATGCGCGTGGCCTGCCCTTAGGTTGTGTGCTGGTGGCCTGGGCTGTTATAATACGTTTTTTATCGGGTCTCGAGTAAATCTTTTGGGTAGCCCGCTTTGATGAGGCGGGTGTGCTGTAGGGAGCAGCTCGTCGAGATTAGGTGAGGGCATGACTTGGATTGGGATGAGGTCAGGAGGTTTTGAACGATTCCGCTTTTGACGTTTTTTGAATGGTTGCTGTGGAAGGGAAGCACTGGTTTGCATGATCTTTGCTGGTAGGACCAGCAAATACCGGAATCCGAGGGGTGAAGGCGAAGATCCAAGAACGGTAGTCCGTTCTGTGTGGGGGCTTCGCTGGTATATTTTAGACCGAACGAATTATCTGAGAATATCTGCTCAATATTTTTAGGGTCAGAGGTGGCTTGGTGAACGATAAGGTAGTCATCTACATATCGCAATACGGATGTGCCCTGGGCGAGAGTTGTGAGGGCTTCGGAAACCTGCCTATCCACAAAGAACAGGGAGATCTCACTCAAGACGGGGGCGAGGCACAAGCCGATGCAAACCCCCGTCTTCTGGTCGAAGACCTTTCCCTCGTGCTCCACTAGGGTTGAACGTAGGTAAAGGTCGATTAGGTTCAGAAACCTCGACACAGAGATCCCCGCTGAGTTCTGGAACCTGACCGCGCCGTGGAGGTGTATAGCCACGCTGATGAAACTCTGCGCGGTGACTGTCGAGTTTGGTTACGGGTGTCAAAATAAATGTATGCTGCCAGTTGGAGAAACGTGTCGTCCGGTTTTTGTCCTCTATGTTATTCTCCACAAACACCGTAACTTAACCAGCACGATTCATTTCCACGAGTCTCTACTCTCGGAGGCGTGTTTGTTCTTTGCACGAGGGCCCTGATACCTTGGTCACAAAAGACTGCCTAAAGACATGTTCGAAGTATATATGCGTATGAAACAAACATGTCTCCAGCGAACACCATGTCTTTTGGATTGCCATGACATATCTGCGGTTAAAAAAAAAGGAAAAAAAGAACACCGGCTGCCTTTGTTGCTGCAAATTACCCATAACCCGAATCTGGAGTAGTTATCAGGCTAACGTGTGACCAGATTTAAATGATACTTAGATTAAACACGTCAATTTTCAGTGGAGAAACGACTCTTGTGACTGTTTAATTTCAGCATTTTTGTGAGTGTGCTTCTAGTAGAAAATGCGGAGAACGAATATTTCAAAAGTCATACTTTATCGTTGTCAATAAAGAGTTGGAGAGAAACTTCAGGTTCATATAGATACATATTTTGTGTGTGGTCAGAATATTTGGATAATTATCTGGTTATTTGTAAACCAGGGTAAAGGCTGAACTCCATGGAGTGAATTATGCGACGAATAACTGACGAACGCCATCCGATGACACGCACGCTTTGCGCGCGACGTAGCAGCCACTGTGGTGATTCCACGCGCAGACCAAAAACCGCCGCGCAAAATTCGTCCCATACAATTCAGCCTTTAGGCTTTCGTTTCCCGTATCAAGATGACTGCGTTAATTCTTCAATCAATAAATGTACAAAATATTTCTTTTCTTTTTTGACACTCAACAGCTGCAATACTGTCATTCAAACAAATATATTGAAATAGTTCTTCTACATGACTTTTTCGTTCATATATCGGCTGTGGACAGTCTGTATCACGGTAGAAGAAAGTTGTTTATAAACGGCGGCACCTCGCCACGAAGCAGGTGCGGCAAAGGTTTGCTCCCAATTATGGCAAACGCCGTGAGATGGCGCGGCGTGACAGGAGCTCGAGAAACCATCCTTATTTACGCACACGCTTTGAAAGCAAGCAGCGTGCGAGGGCGCCTGCGTGCGGAGCCCCAACCCGACAGCGCACCTGCCGGGAGATGCGCGAAGTCCGAGTAGAATTTCGGCCCTCTTTTACTCTTTGTTCCAACACCGCTTCCTTTTTTTTTTTTTTCCACCGTGGTCTCCATATAGGTCAACACGCCGCTCTGACGTCGTGTAACTGCGGTGGTGCTGCTGCTGATGTGACGCCTGCGGAGACGCTTTACTTCAATTTATTGCACACAGACAGCGCTTCTACTCTGGGCACTTCTTTATTTTCCCTGTGTTTTTGCGCGCTGTTTCCGCTTTACTTCACACACACCTGTTTTCTGCGCACGCGCGATGCCCACACCTAGTGTAGGGAATGCATGGGTTTGTTTGTAAACAACGCTTTGTCCTATACATGTCGTAATCTTGCGTCAATATAATCGTCCAGATCATGCAGTGGCCAGCGAGTGCCTTGAACCGGATTACCTACGATCTACGCTTGGTGATGTTCCCGAAGGAGAACTTTGAAACGTGGAAGAAACAGTTCAAGCCCTGCTCTTCGCAGCGACTCTTCCTCCCAGTGGGTGTTTCCTTTGTATCCCAGGACATTACCGTGACGAGGTTCCGATGCACCATACCTCAAAGGACGGTGTTCTTCTTTACGCGGCTATATCCCTTAGGGGCAGTCTAATATCAGACATCATCATCTTCACCGTTTTTTGTTTTTGGTGGGTGGGTGGGTCAGCGGAAATATAAGCTGACCCACTTTAGGGCTAACTGAAAGGGGCAAATGCCGCATCGGGTTCCCCCGGCATGCCGTCATGAAACCGAGGAAAGGGGGCAGTCCCTTACTTGGGCTTCCCCGCCTGACCTTTAAGCCGAACCGTCATGAACGCCCAGCTCATATTGCCGGACTCTGTATCAGTGTCTGAGGAAAGTATATTTTTTTCTGTCACATTGGTAAGGCAACGACTGTCCGCCGTATGTTCAGAAACAAAAAACAAAAAAAAACATGCGTAATACTTTTGTCACTACTGATGTATGATGACATGAATGGATTTTCTCCCTCTCGTGAAAGTCAGAGTGGAGAATACTTTCCACTATCTTGACCATAATGCGCAGAGCAACATCAGTTTATACCTACAAGCGCTTTAGGTTTGAAGGCTCAAGTGCTCAAGTAGACTTCCCAGTCACAAAGTGTAAATATAATGAATATTACTCAGCAGATCTCCTGCACTTTTTTTCATTTCTTCGCCTGGACGACTTTTTCGTTATTTTCGCAGCAATCAACCGACGCATAGTATCACGTCGTTGAGGAAGCTTAATTATTATGCGTGCAGCGCGTTTTCAAATGCCGTGTTTACCGCATTCTCGGAAGTGGCCCCCCGAATCCCGACTGATGACGTCATAGAAGTGTTTGGTTGTTGCGTGTCGCGATCCTGGCGGTGGCAGAGCAGTGGAGCTGGATGTGGCAGACGCCTGGTCGTCTGCAGGTCACTCTACAGCCAGACAGTCGACAGAAACCAAACCGAACACGAGATGGGACGTCGCGACGATAGCGATCCTTGCTTCCCCTCCTCGTTTTCGCCAGCATTTTTACGACCATCTGACAGCAGGGTTCGTCTCAGACCGCGGCGAGCGTTTCCAATTTAATGCGGAGGCCTCCTGCATAAATTGGTAGGAACTACGCGCGCGGTGCATTTTCGCGTGCCCAGAAGGAAAGCACCGAGAAAAGCGGAGAGGTTTGGGGGCGATCAACGCTTTCGGTCCCTCCTTGCTTCTCATAATACAAACGCCGCCCATAAGCGCTGTCTCCGATCAAACACTTGGGAACTCTCTGCAATGTAGGCTCAAGTCATGTCGCGGGAGCTGACACGACAGCTACCGCAACGTGCCTTTGTGTTGCTAGTCGTTGATGCGTGTACGGTATAAGAAGGTATAAACCCTGCAAATGAAGACGCGTTCCAAGCTCCATAGCTGATGTCAACCACCCGGATGTTTTTTTTTGTTTTTTTTTTTTCTTTTTTGTCCACTGTAACCAATACTACATAGACGGTAAGGCCTCGCGATGACGTCATCATTGGTACATCCTCGATCTTCCCCCTAGAAAGACTATCCTATCCAAAAGGAAGGACACGTGCAATGTGATATTTGATGACAACTTTTGCGCGGCGTTACCTGCAGGACATGCTACCAAACGAGGATGCAGTCTTGTACGTGGACGCCGACACCCTCTTTTTGAACCCTGTCGAAGAACACTGGAACGTCTTCGAGAAGATGAACGAGAGCCATCTGATGGCCCTAGGTTACGAGGGTGAAGACGTAGCTCACAACGTTTACCACCAGCTTGCCAAGCACCCTTACCCTCCCCCTTTCGGTACGTATGTACATAGACTGCTCTACACTGTTGGAACAATCACGATATTCGCGCTTTTTCTCATCTTGCACCAAAGAAGGCATAACTTCTGTTAGTGAACTAGACGAGTGCTTTCGACCACACTAGAAGTTTTTATTGGCCACAGCCCTTAAACCCAAAGTAGCACTGCCTATATATCATGGATAAGATACGGTGTGTGCAGCAGACATGACGACTGAATGATCTCCGGTCACCTCTCAAGCATGTGTGAAGTATGTGCTTCATACATCCATACATCGATTGTTCGATCTAACAATGTCAGGCAATGCGCACACTTGTTCCTTAAAAAAATGCTTTCTCTTCGATTGTATTTTTTTCGATTCTCAGAAAAACAGACAATTAATGCCGTTTTTGAACAGGCTAACATGTCGAAGAGATGGCCAAAAAATCAAAATAAACGTTCGTGTTTAGACAACGCAAGGTAGGTCTGCCTCTGAGATATGGCGACAGTGGTTTACGTTGTAGATAAGACATTTAGCCGGTGCAGTACGGCTGCTAGCCTCGGGCGTTGAAGATGCATCACCTAGAAGTGGTACTCGGCCACACGCTAAAACGATGCTCGTCGTCATCGAAACGGGCAGAGATGGGGATTGGACCAAGGATGGCAGGGTTCCGCTTGTGCGAGCCTTCGCTCCACGTGCTCCTAGCTCCAGTGCAATGTTTTCGCTAAATGTAGCGGGAACAATTTTCCTCTCAATATTGCGGGACTATTTCTCCGCTAAACGTCACGCTGCCGTGCGACATCACGCAGTATCATGATGTGATTATGTTAGCTTACGTGACTCCATTATGTCACGAGACTGTGAGACGTCATATGACATCGTGGATTTTGTGGCTGTGTTTGGTCTGTGCTTAGCAGAGCGCGCAGGTGCAAGACACGGCGAGTAACCGGGATTTTTTTACTGTCACAGGAGCGAACGCCGGCGTTATGGCCATGAACCTCACGCGCATGCGCAGCTTTGACTGGGCGTCGCGCCTGGCGCCCCTGAGGGAAGAGTACGCTGGCCGGTTACTCTGGGGTGACCAGGACTTAATCAACATCCTCTTCAGCTTTCACCCGGACAAGCTGTTCATGTTGACGTGCAGATGGAACTACCGCCAGGATAACTGCAGGTTCCACGATTCGTGCTCGGGAGAAACGCCCGCCTTGTTGCACGGTACCGCGAAGTGCTTCGCCGCCCCGTTCAGGGCACCTGCCTTCTCCACCATCTACCGGGTCATGGGGAAGGTACGTGAGCCATCCTGTTTTCAAACAGACAAATAGAGAAAGAAAAAAGAAACAAACATGACACGCAATATGTTGAGTTTTCGTACGTCTGAAGTGTGTCGATTGGCCATCTCTCTGTGTGTGAGGGGGGTTGCAGCTTATCTTTGCGAAGCTAGCGCAACAACACACGGGATGTGCATAACATAGTCGGTGACAGCCTAAGAACCTGAGCATATTATCTTCGTTTGCTGTGCTACTCGATGATAACGCCGAAGGCGAATCACGAAGGATGAAGCGGTAATATAAATAGCGACGCGGTTTTTTCAGCCCCACCCCCCCCCCCCCCCTCCGTCAGTTACTCAACAGATTCCTAGTCCCCCAGTCATTGTCAACGGTAATTTTCCTGGTGTAAATTATTGACGTTATAAGCAAACCTTTAGCTTTATCTGGTTGGGAATCACTTAGTCTCAAGTTTACCGCCATTGGGGATCATTCTTGAGTTTGCGTTTTAATACTGGTCCCTACGGACTTCACATAACTTTAACCTACCGTAAAATACAGGCAAGCGCCCACTCAAAATTTATAGATAATCACGAAAAAGTGGGGATGGGCGCTTGTCCGGTTATCAGTTTTATATATCAATGTACTGTGCATATTTTCTCGGATCATACAAATTTGGCCATGGGCGCTTAGTGTGGAATGGGCGGATGCGCGATATTCTACAGTACGTGTAGCGATTGACTATTACAGTTTGTGATGCAAATGACTTTTCTAAATAGATTCTCTTACAATATTAATCTCGTATTAGCGAATGAGATTCAACACGAATGTAATTTGCGAGCATGCCGGTCACATCTTATGACGTCCGCTTATAACGACTCCTATATTGGCTTCCATAATAATTTCGGGGAAACATAATCATAATTTCTTTTGGCACGACTGAAACACCGCATAGAAGAGGAATATATTCAAAAAATGAAAGACGCTTACAATCCCCTGTTACGCCGAATTAGAGCACAGCTCTTAAGGAGGAGGAGGGGAAGGTATAGAGAGGAGGGTATGCACCTCCTCCTCCTGTGTACTCTCCCCTTCTCCTCTCCTGCTCACCTCCCATTTAGAGGGAAATTTACCCATAGTGACATCTGGAGTGACTTCACAGGTGACCCTCGTTACATCACACGTGACGCCACGTGTGACATCATCATGGGAGATCTCCCATATTGTCCCGCGCCGTTACGCCGTCGGCGACGCCGACGCCGATGTATATTCCGCTCACCCGTTAACGGGCAACTAAGGCCACATTCACACAGCAGGCGTCTCGCCCCGTCCCGGCGAAAGCGCCGTGCCGAAATTGGGGCGGTGCGAGGACGTTAGAGTGATCGAACCATCGGCGACGGATCTGCCGACGGTGGCTACGTGAATGGATAAATGTTGTCGGCCTTGTCCCCTTAGATGGGGGGTAGCTCTCTCCATGTAGCTGAGAAACCTTGCGGCACCTTTGAAATTCCGCGTCGAACTTTTGTATACAGTAAGACTGTGTGACCGGCATAACGTATTAATTTCTGGCACAATTTCACACATCCCTTGATATCTACTACCAACCTTCTAATCCTGTATTTGCGGTCGCTTTGTGGCGGCGTCGACTACCAAAAGTAGCGGACGATCGGCGTCGATGGGCGCAGCCACAACTGATTTGTTTCTTGAAGCTGGAGTTCGGGTTGCCGATAGCGATTTTGCATGTTTCGAAACATTTTATTTGTCTCCACGTTTCGAAACGAAAACGACAAGATCCACCGCGAGAGAGTTTCATATCAGTCACTCCTCACGCCACATTTCATCCCCAATGATTGACGGCCGTATTTTCTTTCTTCGGCTGTTCTTCCTTAAAATCGCAGTTACGTCTACCGCAAAGGAACCGATAGGGTCTCACCGTTTGGAGCAGCAGCTCAGCGGTAAATCCAAATCTCTCTATGCCCGTTGTTCAACTACGTAAACATCAGACAATGCGCCCGTCGTCTCGCTGGCCTCGCTCCTTCCCGAAAAGAGCTTTCATGGCGTCGTCTTTAAAGCGTTAGGGCACAGTACGGTCTGTTCCACTTACACCGCCCGCGGCCGTGGCCATGGTCACCCAACTTTGAAGAATCCGCGAAATTCAGTCAAAGTTTTCTTTTTTTTGTGATTGGCCGCCCCTCGATGGGGCGGGGCGCCAGCTTACCCGGTCTCCCGCCGGCGCCGGAGACAGAACATCGACCTTCTACTCATTTCGGCTTCGGCGGCGCGATTTCGGTCGGAAACCGGTCCCAAACCTCCTCCTATGGCGGAAAGGAGGGTCAGCGCAATCATCGGACGGGGAGAAAACGGCTGTGTGAATGAGGCCTAAGAGCTGCGCCTTAAAAAGTTTGAGGACACCTAAGAGCGTTTTTTTTAGCTGTGAATTCGAAAACATTAGTGTCGTTCTTTCGCTCTCTTGGTTCTCATGTTGTGTACTGACGTCGACGGCCATGTTTCCACACTGCCGAGGTTACAGCCGCCAACGAGGTAGATGCGTCAGGCGCCGCCATGTTCCTCGGCGCCAAGAGGAGCAGAAGCGGCCGCAGCGCCGGCAGGGAGTGCGGCGGTTGGCTGCGGAGACCGTCTTGGCTCCATGGTGACTGCTGCGCCCCTGTGTGAGGCAGCGGCGGGAGCGCTCAGCCCGGCCCGGCGCTTGAGAAAATCACGTGTCCTTGATCATCTTCGTCGCGCTCATAACGTAACGTTAGTCCTAACGTTTCGCCTAACTTTTGACCCGCGTATACCCGTGTCCCCCCCCTTCACGTCAAATAGCTGCGCGTACCGGTTTACGACCTTAGACCTCAAAGCGTAACGATAGGCCTAACGTTAGGCCCAACGTCAGGCCAGCGGGTACCCGCGTCTCCCAATCCCGCTGCGCCCCCAGCAGTTCGGCTGGCTCCTTAATAACGATGAATCCGTTTCTATAGAGCCAGATGACGCGTCGCACCCACTTGAAATTTAGGTGTCGTTTTGATCAGCCAATGGGAATTTACGTGCCGTTTTTCGCTGCCAGACAACGCCGACTTCGCTCCATCAGACAGTTAATGCTTTCACATTAAAAAATAATTGTTGTTTGTGCTTGGCCAGCGGAAGGTTAGTCAGCGAAAGTGGGCGTCTCAGCAACACCACCCAAGCTTTAAAAATATGGTGAACCGAAATTTGGATTTCCGAAAACAATGCAGGAGCTGTAGGCGGGACGCTACAATCCTTAGAACACTACTTGTAAGGCGATATCTCGAATAGACGGCCGTAGTTTTGGAAAAAGAGGTCGAGTTTGAATGAGGCCGACGAGGCCCGTGACGTGAAGATATCTCATTGCCTCCTCTATCGCTTCGCCCCCTCAAGGCGGCGAGGCGGAGAAGACCCGAGGCCGTTCCCTCTCCTTCTTGAAGAAGACTTAAACATATCTGTCAAATGCGCTAGCTTCTTTTTTTTTTTTCTTCTTTAAATACTGTTATCCATTTAAGATATTGCTGTATGAGTGATGTTTTGGTGTTTGTAGCATCCCGTTGCACGCTTTTGTCACCGTGTTTTGTGGAATCCAGATTTCGGTTCAGCATCCCTTTAGGCCTCTCCGCTCTTCCTATGACGTCGCGCTACACTTTCAAAAAAGAAAGTACTGTAGTACCCTCCTTAGAATCCCGGAGAAAAGCTCACCGGAGAAAAGCTCACCGGAGATAAGCTCACCGGAGAAAAGCTCACCGCAAGACCTGCGGATGCGGAGAAAAGCTCACCGATTTTTTTTTCCTTCTTGTTATATAGAGGCTGTTGGATCATACGTAACGTATATCAATTTATTATCATTAAAGTTCGTCAGCTTTGTCAAAAAGAAAATGTCCTTTTTCTATTATTTGCCAAGCTTATTAAGTATATCGCTCCCAGATTAATAATGGCGGACCAGTTTTTCCTGCGGCTTACTCTCTAGGCAACTAAAGCCTAATATCAATTTATTATCATTAAAGTTCGTCAGCTTTGTCAAAAAGAAAATGTCCTTTTTCTATTATTTGCCAAGCTTATTAAGTATATCGCTCCCAGATTAATAATGGCGGACCAGTTTTTCCTGCGGCTTACTCTCTAGGCTACTAAAGCCTAACTGAAAATTTTATAAACTTGAATAACATGAAAAAGTTCGAAAACTTATGTCTCCCTAAAACCTAAAAATCAAAACTGTAAACACCGAAAATCTGAAAGTGCATGCGCAACAACGCGGTGCCTGAAATTCTCTTTGAAGCTTTTATTAACCTTTGAAAACAGGATAAAACGGTCAGTAGGATATTGAGGCTTCTTTCTTCCACGGACATGCATGTTTTCTAGCCGTTCGTGCTGGTGTTTCCGCGCGTTGCCTTTGTGTGATAGTGCCCTTCTGAGGTGAGCCACTCATGACTTTCAGAGCTACACACTGGGACCGTTGTTGCTCGTGACCTATATAAGAAATAGTCTTTTGTAAGGTAGCGAATAGGGCGAGTTGGTAAACGTTATACAAGATGAAAACCGATCAAACGACGACGAACGAGTGAAGACAACAAACACGACAAGACGAAGCTGTTCTCGCAACTAAAGTTTTCTTAGTGAAATTAACAGAAAGAAAACAGCGTAGCCTACACTGATTGCATCAACAAATACCTACTTAGCTATTAGGCACTACAGAATATTTGGAGCTGAAACGGTTCACCACACCGCTATTCATATTAGCTCACAAAGAACAAACCTCTTTATTTGACAAAGCTACCGACGGCGCACCCTCAGTTGTCAATAGATTGTTGTCTTTTTTACCGGTGTACGATGTTTTGATAACATTTTTGCGGCTTCACTATTATACACAATGGGTGATTACTAATTTCTGAGGAATTAGTAAATATGCCCAATGACCTTCAAGAATATTACAAGAAAGAGGACACATTTTTTTTTTTTTAAATGAAGTGGCGAATGCAAATTGTGTTAAATTGCCTCTTAACGCAGAATCCGCTAAG